TCTGCTTTAACAGTAAAGCACCCAAATGAGGAACATCTAATCTCAGATTCTTAAGCGTTCTAGGTAAACATATGCAAACTGCCATTTAAAAGACTCTGCTGTCTTCTGTTGACAATATAATCTCTTTAATTGACAATCACACTACGCTTCAACTGAACAAACCAACCCCAATGCTTGAGTACCCTTACCTCTCTTCAGATGTATCACTGATCAAAGCTATAAAAACAACTGCTGAGTAATATTTAGCACTTCGTTTCGAATTACATATGCCGATATAAATTGTTTCCTAACTAGAAATAACACTGTTTTCTGGGTTGTGGTGGTTTTGTTTTCCAAACAGTCCCCAAGGTCCCTTTTACACTGTGGGTTTTTTACCGCTTCATATTAGAATCAGAATCAAAACAGTGTCACACAAACTCCTGAAGTTTAATAGCAAAATGAGATCAAAACCTTAAGCCAGATTTAATTTAGGCCCAAAGAAGACCACAATTATTAGAGAGATAATTGACAGTGTTGTGTAGGTTTGTAGGTATCACTTTCAGCCGTAGTTGTAAATAGATAACTAGAGCTAAATGTTTAAATATGTAGTAGAGAACACTTAATTTTTCTAAGTTAAATGAGCAAGGATCAAAAATAATCTTGACTCAAAATTAAAGATGATGTTCTTGCATGTTAACGGATGGGCAGATGGGAGTGTTGCAGTGAAAAGTGTTGATGCCGAAGCATAAAGAAATCAAATGATGCTTATGGGAGACAAAACAAAAGTAAGTATACTTGGCTTCTTTTTTGACCAGGAGGTCACAGGTTGTTTCTTCATAAGTTTACATTCTCGGGGAAGTGCTTTGTCAGTGTCTGATAATTTGGCTGACAATACTGAAGCACCTATGAAGCGATTACCTTAAAAAATGTTCTGCTTCTTCTGCATTTTGCAGTTTGGATCAGTAATTGTATGTTTCCACTGTCCTGGTTGTTAGTTCACAAATAAATGGCTTGCTTCCTGGGTCTGAGCTCAGATTGATGTCAGGACTGAAATGCTAATAGCAATGAGAAAATTGCAAAGCAGTTCTAATGGCTGATGTATAGAAATAAATGTTTTGTGACTCATATAAAAAATCCAAAGATTGAGTGGAATTAATTCTTTTACTTCTGAATTTGCAGTTGTGAGTTCATTGCTTATTGCACGGAGGGAGATGATAGTCTCTTACATGTAATGGTGTTTCATTAACTTCCCTATTCATTCAAATTATGCTTTTACTGTTATAGAACTGTTATGTTTACATTTACATTTTATGGTCTTATGTTTACTTAAGAGAATAACTTGAAAACGTTCCCCAGATGTAGCAGCCCTGAAAGTCTGCCACCATCCAGCAAGGAAAGTGCTTAGTTAGTAAATGTCATTTAATCAAAACAATCCGCACTGAGGCAGAAGAAAACCCACCACTTTTATGATGGTCACATTGGAATAAAGGAAATACTGCTGTTGCTTGACCAGTGTGCAGCTGGTCCCATTTTTCCAAGTGAGTGAGACAGTGTCCCCATATGGTTAAGGCATCTGAAACCATATTTTGCTTAGTATAGTTATATTAAGGACAGCACGTGATATCCCCAATATAATATTTTTGTGCCAGTGTGAGCTTTCTAGGCAACTTCTGACTGTTGTAAACAATCTATAAAGCAGCAATTTGTGAGTGAGTTGTCTGTACAGTGTCTGTACTGATCTGACTTTTGTTTGTACTGTTCAGAGCTATAGGGGGAAGTCTGGGGTTCTCTTCTGCTTCCTACTGTTTTAGTACGACAGCTAATTGAAGATTTGTGTCTTGCTCACCATCTCCCAGAAGCTAGAATTCATTTCAAAGATGTCTGCAAATGTGAACAAAGGAGAAACAGGGCCAAATTTACAGTCAAACACAACTTTGAATATTATTGAATAGATAAACTAGTGATTATGTGCAGCAGGCAAATAGCGAGCTTCACATCTGAAAGTGCAGTTCTCTAGGTTTGTTTTTTAGCAAGTACTCGCTTGAGTGAAACATTCAAGTTTAGAATGAATTTCCATTAAAGGTTAAACGGCCTCAGAAAGCAAACATCATTCCTCATTCTGCACAGTGTTCCTCAATACTTCCCTGTAAGCTTGCTTCTAGTAAGCAGATTTGGTGGTAGCCCATTTTTCCCAGTGTCTGCTCCAGGAGCAGCAGTGACAGGTAAATGATAGTATGCTGGGAAACCAGATGGCTCCATTGACACAAAATGGGAAAATACTTACAATACTCACAGGTGAGCTTGAGCAAAACTACTGTGTTCATAGAATCTCTAATGCTAGTTTAGGAAGGTGGGGAATGAGCTTTGGGAGCTCTCCGACCTTGCTTTAGGATTACATCTTTCTAATGATGGGAGAGCAGTACATTCATGGTCATTTCAGGCCAAGCTGCTGTAATTCCCCAAATTATCTCCTCAGCTCAAACATGTTTCTTCAGCCAGTGAGAGGGGTAAAGCAATGAATTCTCTGAAATGACTCCTAGGATTGTGTCTCTGCTACAGTAAGATGAGTGAAGATCACGTTGTGTAATTAATTATGAATTTAGTCACTTATCTTTCAAACCCCACACGTCTTCATTCATAAGGAGGTGAAACTCTAGAAGTATTAATTGATATTCCTAGTTGACAACATTTGCAGATAAATTCCAAGCTATGAATTTTGGCCCAGCTACCAATTTGGGGTGTCAGTTTTGTGTGATTTGTTACTGAATTCAAAAGGTCTCTGTTTTGCATTTTGGCACGCTGGCTGAGTCTTCTTAAAGAAAAGTGAAAGTTGAAAAGTGCACTTCTAGAACATATTTTCAAATGAAATATCATTCTAGCAGCTTCAGGGTTCATAAATATTTTCAGACAACCCAGTATCTACCAGAAAATATTAAACATGCATTACAAATCTAACAGTACAAAGAATTAATTTGCAATACTTTATCATAAAGGCATTTGCAAATAGATTCCTATGTTACTCCACTAGTTGTAGTTATTTGTTCTTTTTACATTGGAGCAGGCTAAAATTCTTCTTTCAAGCCATTTGCTGCTGTTATCTTTTCAAATGAGTTGTGTTTCCCATGCAGCAGCCACGATCGATGCAAATATGCTTTTCTTTTTTTTTCTTCCACAAAGCAATTACCCATAAATATCAGAGTTCATTGCTGGGTTAGTACATATTGTACTACTGATTTTAAATTGGAGGACTCGCTTGTAAACACTTTCTTTCTGCATTATCATTTAGCAGTAGAATGATGTGATGCTTCATTGTCGGTTTATTTCCAAACACAGTTAAATGCTTGACTTCATCACCTGTAGATAAGAATCCCCTTTCTCAGTTTTTTAGAAGTCTTCCTTTTGTGCTTTGGATGGCGATGTCTCTTAAAGAGAATGGAAAGGTTTCCCACTTTTTGATGAAATTGAACTCATTCAAAAATTCTGGTAAGAATTGTATAGAGATAGAATAGCATGGAGGTGTATTTGGGGCTAAACTCTGAAGTCACTGCAAGAGGTTAATTTAAAAAGAGCTAACTGTGATTCAGCTGTAATATTCCCAAACTGTATCTGAGATGTGCTCTGTCTCAAGAGGAAGAGTGCATAGTGAAGATCTTGCTTGTTAAATTGCTGGTTTGCCAGCAAATACAAATGTACATATTTCAGGACACAAGTGGATTCTGTTTTCTGGTTTTCCAAAGAAACTTTTGAGATCATTTTTCCAAGACATTTTCACAGTGTCAGTAGCTGGGGAGGTAAAACCCATCGCACTGAACTTCTCTGAGCACCACGCTTCAGAGACATCACTCAGTGCATGGGAAGGGGAAGAAGAAAAGGTTTCCTTATCTCAGTGGAGGATCTTGGCTGTTTTCTTATCTGTTGATGTTCAAGTGAAAAGTTGCCCCTCTCCCAGATGAGAGCTTGTCTCTCCCAGCCTTTAGCTTTGCTGGAGCACAAGGAGCTGCTCTGAAGGCTCTTCATCACGCATGTGCTCCTCACACACTTGAATCTGTTTCACAGTGTTCCTCCTTCTGATCTGTGCTATTTGCAGTAATATCTGGGTTTGTTTGTTATTTGTTTTTTTGTCTTCTGCTGTGAATAAAGTCCTCTTGTGTTTATTTGTTTTGGATTTCTTTCCTGGAACAAGTTAGTATTCATTAGGTATTCAATCCCAGATTCCACTCTCAGATAAGATAAAGTTTTTCCCTTTTGATATCCCATATTTATTGTTTCAGAGTTCTAAAGGGACTGGCTTTGCTGCTCTTTTGATTGAAATAAAGGTTATTCTACTAAATCAATATCAAGTCTGACAGATCTGAAGCAAATGAATTCTTGGAAACAATATGGTGAAAGTTCTGACTTCAGATTTGGCTTTATAAATCCAGAATTATAGTGAGGAATATAAGTGGATTGTCTTCACCTTGATAACTTATTAAAGCTGTTTACTGCTGGGAGAATTCCTGACTCTCATGACAACACCTGAAGTATACAGTTATTGATGTCTCATTCTGGATTCTAATAGCCTGCTTGTGGTGCTTAACTATTTTGTTAACTATTTGAAAAGTCTTCAGAAGGTCTGTACACTCAGTGAGGCTAGGAAGTGGCCACTTATCCACCTTTATTTACCCCTAAATTTGTATCTCTTGTGTTGCAGATGTGACAGTAAATGCAGGTTAAGGCTCGGTTGCACAGCTAAGGAGCAAGCTTGGTCTAATATTTACCCTTGACTCCTGATGCAAGTAACAGCTCCAGGTCTCTACTTGATATAACTTTGGAGACCTTACCTGAGGGACGTATCTCCCAGGAACAAAATGTCACTCTATCTCTAATGAAAGCTTTTCCATGGATTCAGATCTGTATGAAACCTTGTAATTGAGGTTTGGTCCCAGATGCTTTAACATTCCTAGCGTTTGACTCTGAAGGTAGTTTGGCTTTTTCCACCCTTTCCAAAATGCTATTTCCTTTATATTCATATATAGACTTACTTTCTTTGCCTCTAAGTTCCAAATTTTGGGGCCGGGAGGTTTGATTCTGTTGAACTGGAGAGCTGAGTTCTTTGTGAGTTTGAATGCTGGAGGAGACAGAAGTGATAGAGCAAATCTGTTCTTCCTGATTCTGTGACCGTGTCCCCATGCATCCCTAGAAGAAAGGCAGCTCTTATTTAAAAACCAGTTGGCTTTTTTTCCTGTCACACTGCTAAACTTTTATAAATTTAAGATAGAAGCAGTTTTCTGCTTTTTTTTTTTTTTTTTTTTATCCTATCTCCCCTCAGATGTGATGAAATTTTCCACCTGCCCTCACCTAAGCACCCGTCTGCCTTATTTATGCCAGCAATAATCTCTGCTCTGCACTGAAGCACCACTTAGCACTTATTGCCTCAGGGAATGGGAAAACCTTTGGGATGACTTAGCCCCTGTGGATTATCAAGCCTTATTGTATCCATATTCCTCCTGTCTGATGGGAAGGAGCATCAGACTGCACTGTACAGATGTTTAGAGCCTCATATTATAGCAATGATGAGACTTCCATTTGGGCTGTGTAGCACTCTCCTGCCAGTTGAAATCTGGGGTTTTTTTTGTATACATTTTGCATCTGTGTATTGCTCTCTTTTCTGCATAGAGGGGGAAAAATAAGGGAATTAAATCCCACTCTTTATCTGCAATCTTCCTCTGTGTCACTGTCTTCACTTTTCATCCTGAGGTCCCAAATCATGTTTCAGCTTAACAGTTGCATGCATGGGGAATGCGTGTAAATAAATCTATGGTTACTTTCTTGGTTTTTAACAGATGAAAAAGCTGAACTTCCTCAAGTGAGCATATGGAGGAGGATCATATAAATGGATTGCAACTTCCAAACTCAATTCCGTATTTTCTGAAATTAAATTACTACTTGAAATGTAGATTATTGTCAGAATTGGATTTGGTGTGTAGCTGTGGCTGAATCTCAGCTGTTTGTAAAGTAATATCAGACTCAACATTCACGATAACTGAGTGGGCAGCCCAGCCTGAGGGCTTCTCATCTCCTGCACACAGTGAAGCATCCCTGTAGGAGATGCAGCATGAACTGCTTCAAGCTAGAAACCCCACCTTGCTGCCATGCCACCTCCTGCTTGGGGAATAAAGTCATCAAAAGATGCCATGTTTATAAGGTGACCTTTGTCAAGAATATTTTTCTTCCCTGTTTGTCTGATTATGAAATGTTTGAGGATAACATCACAAATTTTCATCCAGATGATGCAACATTATGGAGTTCAACCATCCGCTGTGATTTAGCAGAAGAATCAAGTTGAGAATATCATGTATTAAAGACTGATGAAACATTTCCTATTGTGGGCTCCACGGGTTTTTCAGAGCTTTTCTGCATATGTAAGAACAAAGCTTTAATCAAAGCACCACAGGTGTTTTTTTGTTTGTTCATTTTGAACACCCGAACCTTTACACTCAATGCTACAGTCCTGGTAACTGCCTTGTTTAAAATTGGTCGATATATTTTCATTTGCTAACTTTCTGCTACACGCATAACATGTTTCAGAGGAAAAGTTTTTCCTTACTGCTGTTGGCACCATAGCAATCTGCATTTCAGGCACTGCCCAAAGGAGCAGCACGGACTTCCACGGGATGTTTCCAGTGCAATGTTTTGCTCACACGTATTCTGTCCTTTGCCTGGTTGCAGCAACAGCTGCCAAAGTCACAGCAGTGCCAAATCACAGACAAGCTGTTATTAGTGAGATGCTACTGAATTTGATTGCGTTAATTTGCGAAGATATTATTTGGTGGTCTGAGCATGATCTTAAAAGCAGTTTGGGTAATTGGAGCTCTGTACTATGTACTCCAACTTCTGTAAAATGAGGGCACTTTCTCAATACCTGCTTTGCTGAGAAGGAATGTTGGGCTTTTAGAGGGGAAAAGTTTGTCGAGTTTTTTACCAAGCATTGCATAACAACAACCAGAATCATCATTTCACATTTTATGAGAACAATGTCCTTTGATAACAGAGTTGGCTTGGGTAATAGGCGAACATGACAGATGTCTCTCCAGCTTTGTCCTCTTCTGAGTGGTAAACAGAGGAATTCTCAGACAGCCAGGATGGCATTTTACTTCTACTGTTCTGAGGATTTGCCTTTCTGGGAGTTAGGATCACATCAAATTCTTGCCAGAGGTAATAAGGGGAGCAAAGGATTCGGTTATTCAGCCCCTAGAAATGTATTTGTCTTGTTAACAGCTCCCAGTAGGAGCCTGCAGAAAGTTTATCTCCTCTGTTATGAGTTGCAGGTGGGAGGAGAAGAAATATGAAGATGGGATTAAGTGGAAATTTCCAGAAAAATGGGGTCTGTTGTTTGCAACAGCCTCTGGCCCGCTGCCTGGAGATGTAAAGTTTTTATGATGGTAATCACCTACTTGATGAGGTTATTGATCAATGGGCCTTAATGTCTTGTGTAATGAGCTCATGAGCGCTAATTGTTTCAGTATGGATTTTTATTTGGTATCAAGATAGCCACTGAAACAAGTTTGGTAGTTTATATAATTGATCTGTTCCAAGAGATCCAAATGCTGAATCAACTAACAGTAGTGTATAAAAACAAAAGAAAAATTAATCTCAACTCTGCTAAGTGATTTGCATTCGTCTCTGATCATTAATAAGAGAGCTATGAGTTAGATCTGTAGTAGGACAATACTTCGTTAATGTTTTTGAAACTATCTTTTGTTTGCCTTCATTTCATAAATTGTCTTTTAAAAATAAAAGTGCTCATTCATTAAATAAAAATGTGCATACACCAAAGGCTATCCAAAAGCTATCAAATCTGATATCTGATCCAAAGGCTATCAAATTAATTGAAACCTACTTATGGTCTTAGCGGGCTTTCAGTTTGAGCTGTGCAATAGTGGTGGCCCTTTGCATGGGAGGAGGTAGGTAGTGGTCAGAGAGGGGAACCTGAGCACTTCAGTAGAGAAACATCTCTTTGTGGTGGTGTGTAATGACATCCTTGTATGGAGTGACAAGCAATGAATGAACGCAGTGCTATCTCAGATGTCAAAATCCCAACAAAGTTCATTCTGAATCTGCACTAGAGCATTTCACCTTGGTTTTCAATATATGAAATGTAAAAGTATTGTTCACAGATGGTTTTCATACAGAATTGTTTCCAGTTTGCTGTTTTTGCTTCCCTCCCTCTCTCCCCCCCATAAAAACTTTGAGTGTCAGATAATATAACTGCACAGCCATTGAGTTTGCATGAATTTAGCGATTGATTCAAAGTTAAACAAAAGATGATACGTGTGGAGAGAGGAAATTAAAATTTTATTAGGTTCAGCAGCATCAATCTTGATATATTTTCCACTTTATCTTTTGACCTGAGTTACAAAATGCTGCTGTTATTGACTAATTTTATTCTTTTATAACTCACCTGAAAATGTATATAAACTTCAGACCCTCAGCAGTTCTTGCAAATGTTGACCCATGGCTGGTCAATTTAAATTGTGACAAGGTCAGATCTACTGTTTGTAATTCATGTAATGAAATGCCTCATAAAACCTGAAAAATAATATTCTAAAAGGTGCAGAGAGGACAGGACCTTTCTCAGCTGTTGAAAAAGCAATAAAATGTTATGATATTTCTCTGCATAGGAGCAATAACAAAAACATTTCTAACCAATAATTTGACTTGATTGTAAAGAACATTCAGCTTGATTTATAGTGAAGGCATCTTATGAATATATTATGCACATAATGCAGAACTGGGTGTCAACCTGGATAAATAATGTGGTGGCTGCTCTGATTTTCTGTGAAAGAATTTCTGCTAGGCTTGTATTTCCACATCTCACAGTAAATAGTGATTGGGACTAAAAGCAAAAATATGTTTTGGGAAAGCCAAGGCTCCCAAACCTACTTTGTGGTGTCTCCAGCATAACAGTAGCATTTGTTTTATTAATACCACTACACTCTAGTGTCTTTTCTGAACATGCCAGGATCATCTTAAACTGCTATTTCTCCAGCTCTATCCAAAACCATGTTTTAAGAACAAATATTTTTTAAAACTTTTTTTTTTTTTTTTTCAGTGAAAAAATATCTTGGAGCTTTATTAAATTTGAACTTAAAATGGAATGTTGCAACTTGTATTAATGCATTACGTGTATTAAAATGGCTAAATGCCATGTCCACTTCCAACCTGGATTCACTGGGGTTTTTCCAAATTGGTGCCAGTGTAATTGAGATCAGCTGGGGCTCCTGTTGCCCCCCTAAGGATAAGTGCAGTTAACTGTTAGCCCATTTGTTGCTATGTGATGAAATAAATGACCTTTCCCTGCTGTTGCTACAGCATGTTGTAAAACCTCATAGGTCTACTGAGTACTGGCTCTAGTGAATGAGTTCTTCTGTGTTTTCTGGTGTTACCTGTGTGCCAGTTAGCTATGTCCTTGGCTGTGCCGTGGAACTAAGGGTTGGGTTTTTTTTAATGTGAATCATGGGAGGGTACCAATATTAATAATTTTTTTTTTCTCTTTGCATAGATCTTGATCTGACAGAGCAGGTAAGTCCCATGTTGATCAGCAGGGCTGAAAGATGTGCTAACTCTTCTGCAGCCAGCAGCTGAGCAGCAGTGAGACAGAAGTCTCTATTTAGCTTGGAGAGGTCTTGGAGAAGTCTCTATTTAGCTTTATCTCTGGGGAGACCTCACTGTGGCCTTCCAGTACTTGAAGGGAGCATATGAACAGGAGGGGGAACGGCTGTTTATGAGGGTGGATAGTGATAGGACAAGGGAGAATGGTTTTAAACTGACACAGGAGAGGTTTAGGT